CCCCCCCCCCCCCCTTTTTTTTTTCTTTTTTTTGGGCAAAGTGTTTCAGGTTTAGACACATGAAAGATCACCGGGACTTGAGAAAAGGAAAAACCATCTGAGAACTGAGCACCTGTCATGTGTTTCCAGCTCAGGAAAGCAAACTGACGGATACTCTTGTGTGTGTGTGCGTGTGTGTGTGACACTGTGTGTACCTTGTTCACACTGCGCAGGTCGTTCTTGACTGCATCCGCCTTCCTTGCAGCGGGGGGAAGCAGCCTCTTTGCTGTTCCAGACGCCCAAGCAGGCAAGCGTAAGCCTCCCCCACCCCCCCAGCCCAAGGATGATGACCTTCAGGGCTTGAGCGCTTACGAAGCGAAGCTGTTGGCCAAGCAGAAGCGCAAGGAAGAGATGAAGGCTGCTCTGCAGGAGAGGTTGGAGAAAGCCAAGCTTAGGGAAGAAGCAGACGCAGCAGCTGTAAAGTCACAGAGTGCGAAGATAGGTCGCGCTGCTCCCGCCGCGGCCCCGGTGGCAGCCGAGCCGCAAGAGGCACCTGCCCTCGAAACAACCCCCGCCGTCACTGTCGAACTCGAGCCTGTTATTCAATCGGAACAACTTCCTAAGGTCTAGGGATCTGCATCCAGCAGCTGGCTGATGGCTATTTATAGATTCTCCCTGCATTCTGTTCCAGTCAAGCACCCTGTCTGACCTGGAGTTGTCAGAATGTGCATTCTTTGCAGAGCGACTGACCTCTCATATCCTCCAACGCGCTCTCCTTCAGCACCCGCTTTACACCCAGTGGATGTTAGCTTGAGGGAGTAGGAGGGTTGGGAGCATGCTTCTGAGCTATCAAGGCAAATTGGATTATTTATTGACTCGTCGACTGGAGTATTGTAATCGGGTTGATGCTCCCCGTAAAATGAGTAATAACTGTACAATAAATTATAGATTATGATTATGAAAAGTTTTTAAAAAGTCGATAAGAAGAACAGACATGTACACACACTTTCTCCCACATCCTAGTTCCGTTCCATGTGTACGACTGTCCTGCTTCCTTCCCTTCTTTTTTTCACCAGAAGCAGTCAAGTCGTTGCCCCTGCTTCTGGTTCTTTAACAGTTAAAAAAAAAAAAAAAACTAATATAAATGACAAAGCAATGACCACACCAGCGCAAGAATTGACAGTGCTTTTGTCTCTTGATGATGAAAGACTGTCTTATCCCCTCCCAACAGTGAATACAACAACAATGATATCTCTGCTCTCGCTCGTCTCATTACCAGCTTATGTGATTACCTACTCTGTCTACTACTGTAGCCTTTCCTATGGCGACGTACAATACTGCAGAGTGCAGTGTTTCTCTCACCGGTGTCTGAACTCAGAATGTATCACTCTGCAACTCTTCTTGGCACCCACTCGGTATCATCATCGGTATATCGCTCGCCAATCACCTTCTCCCTGTGATCTTCCTCCTCCTCCTCCCAGCATCTCCCTCCTACTTGCCACCTTCTTCCTCATGGGCCAAGGTCATCTATGGGCAGTGCTGTTCCCACTGGCCATCTGCTCTTGCCTGCCTCTCATGTGCTTGTGCACTGAGGCAGCGCCCCGGTATCTGTCAGGTCGAAGACTGCCCTAGACTGCCTTTGCTTCTCTCTTACGCCAAACGGAGATTCGGGCAGACTGATGGGCACTGCCTTCAGGTACCTTTTGGGAGAGGTAACGGCTGGGCTGGGATCCCGACCACCTGGCTGCTATCCCTGACCTGCCGGATCCCGACCACCTGGCTGCTATCCCGATCGGCCTGATCCGGCCTTTGCCAAAGTTGGTTGGACCCTCACTTTCTGCAGGCTATGCCTTCGCTTAGGAGCCCGGCTCTTTTCCACTCACGCTCGCACTCCGTTGGGTTCGGCGTTGAAGTCCCCTGCGAACCCTTCAGTCCACTTGTTGTTTTCCTTTCAGACCCCGTGCACAACTTCGTCACAAAACTCTTTGTGCTGTCTGTACCAATTCTTCCCTTATAAACCACCCATCTTCACTCGGATCGGTATGATATCTGAACTGAACTCTGGACTGCAACTGAGGCTTTAAAACTATGTAAAATTTCTGCAAATTGAGCAATTGATCTATTTAAATTTGGATTGAAAAACAACCTTAAATAAGGAAGTAATTGATAATGTACTCGGTTACGAATCGATAAAGCCTCATATATACAAGTGGACCTGCTGCAGCTATGCTGCGACGAAGGACGATGATAGAAACATTTTGCGAAACACCGCAGCCATCAGTTGGATCCCATCTTTGCAATGTACCCCAACCGGACGCTGCCCAACTTTGCAAAATGCCCCGACAGTTGCCAAGTTTTCGTAGGTGAAATTGCAAAAGGCCATGCGAATTTGGCCAACTTTGCAAAATGCCCCGGCAGTTGCCAAGTTTTCGTAGGTGAAATTGCAAAAGGCCAAGCGAATTTGCACATACCACAAACATGTCAGCCCAAAAGGCCATTCCACTGTGCCCATATCTTTTAGGGACATTTTGACATATATCTCAACTTATGGGGGTATTTGGCAAATTACCCCCCCCCCCATATCTTTTAGGGACATTTTGACATATATCTCAATTTATGGGGGTATTTGGCAAATTAACCCCTGGCCCCCAAAAGGGGTCTCTCTCTCTCTCTCTCTCTCTCTCTCTCTCTCTCTCTCTCTCTCTCTCTCTCTCTCTCTCTCTCTCACACACACACACACACACACACACACACACCCACACCCACACACACACACTCCTTCGCCTTGTGTGACCTCGCAACCTCCTCGTCCTCCCTCGCAGCCCCTTTTCTCCCGCTCGCACGAACTCCTCCCCCTTGCTTAACAACGATGGGTCCCGCATGGCCTCCTGCAACCTCTCGTCCCCATTGTGCGACCTGCTCCTGCCCCTCCCGTGACTTCCTCCTCCCGCTTGCACGACACACTCCTCCCCTTCTCGGACCTCCTCCTCCCCCTTGTGCGACCTCCTCCTCCCCCTTGTGCGACCTCCTCCTGCCCTCGCGCAACCTCCTCCCCGCTCCTTCTCCTGCTCCTTCTCCCGCTCCTCCTCCCTCTCCTTCTCCTGCTTCTCCTCCTGTTGCTCCTCCTGCTCTACCCCCTTCCTCCTTCTGCTGCTCCTTCTCCCGCTCCTCCTCCCTCTCCTTCCCCCGCTCCCCCTCCTGCTGCTCCTCCCGCTCCTCCTGCTCCCCCTCCTCCCGCTGCTTCTCCTGCTCGTCGCCCCGTTCCTCCTCCCTCTACTTCTCCCGCTCCCCCTCCTGCTGCTCCTCCTGCTCCTCCTGCTCCTCCTCCTGCTTCTCCTGCTCTTTCCCCCGTTCCTCCTTCCACTTCTCCAGCTCCTTCTCCCACTTCTCCTCCTCCTGTGTTGCTTCGTCTCACGCTTCGACCCCCGGGCCGGCGCTTTCCCATGCTTCGACCCCCAGTACCGGCCCCGCCCTTCCCCTGTCCCATTGGCCCTGTGCTGATTCCGGCCCGGTTTCTGCCGGCCCCCACGCGGGGCCCTTTGCATGCGTTAGTAGTATAGAGAAGTTAGTAGGCATCCAAGTATAATGGAATTTGGATTTGTTGACCTCTTCCTGTAGGTTTGCGAACTGGAATATATTGGTGCTTGGCGCTGCCCGGTCGGCAGTAGGTGGTGGCATTGATCTAAGTGAAGGGAATTGATTGTTACTCGTTTGTTAGTAGTAAAAAAGGCAACAACTTTGATGCAGGAAAAAATGAATGGGTTCAAAGATGGGGTGGGGCATCAGTGACATGAAGGACCATCAGGATCATTCCCTTGTGATATCTAGAGTGTCCATGTCCCATGGGACAGTGGTGGTGGTTTTCTTAAAATGTTCTCTTCCGCACTAAATTCTGCATTCTTCACCCATACCGAATCTCCTACCTGAAATAGAGATACACACCTACGCAGCTGTGCTTATTAGCTTGTTCAATCATTTCCTGCTGCGACCCCCTCCGTGCTGCAGTGTATACTAAGTTTCTACGAGGCGTATCATCTGTCATGTGTATGGGAACAAGATATCAACTGGTTTCTTGAGCTTCCATCCAAGATGCAACTGGTCGGAACTGCGACCTAGGGTAAAAGCAGTTGAAACTTAAACCGCCAGTACGTTTCCCAGCCGTTTTGCAGGAAAATGCCGTGCATTCTGGCGCGTCGGGCGGGATGCACCAGGGTGCTGTTTCACCAGAAATGCATCTAGGCAAAATGGGTTGTGCATGCGAGGCCCCGTTTGCCTGGATGGGTTTTCGGGCGAGTCGGCACCCCGCCGCATCCCGCCCGATGCGGCAGCATGCACAGCGTGTTTCTGCAAAATGGCTGGGAAACATACTGATCGCTTAAAGCCCCAGTAGATGCCAGCTTTAGGCCGTAGGCCTCTTTGGGAGGCCGCCCACTGCCAATGCATTTCATCTTTTTTTTTTTTTTTTTTTTTTTTTTTTTTCTGTTTAAGGAAAGCATAATTATTTAATTTT